TGAAGATTCCAGGGATGAAGTTCAAAGACTATCAGAGTCAGTGCACAGAAAACTATATTTGCAAATACTTGGGGATATTTTTAGTGTTCTGTAATGTCATTGAAAGAGTTTCTAACTCCTCACAAAATGCTTTAAAAGAGACCACTACTAAAGTGCAAAGCTTTGCTGCATAATTGACAGTGTGCTTGTGGAAATATTTGATAATCTACCAAGCAGTGGCTATTTTTGTAATGGTACATTATTATTATTTATTAATTTGTCAGGCTGAAACGAACTAATTCATAGGCACAGAACTGTATAAAAATGAGACTTTACTTTTAAAGACAATATGCATGTTATATCTGGACTGTAATATGTATGTTTACATATATTTATTACAAAGTAGCAAGCCTTGTATGCCAAGTAATCAGAGGCAATGTATGTTTGGTGAGAGTGTTTATTTAAGTAGCATTGGTATTATAGTTCTAGGTAGAAAATTCTCTTATGGTCATTATTGTATCAAAACTCTTAGAAACTACTAAATACCCCAAACAGGTAAAAATTAAAAATAAAAGGAAACAAGTTCAAGTTTTAAAAATAAATAGTGTTACCCCTTTCTGTCTTTCTCCCCATATCTAAGCCAGCACTAAATGAAACTCCTGATAACTTGGTAGATGGTCTATGTGAACAAATAACTGTTATGAATGGTTAAAAATGTTTAGTAACGGCATTGCATCGTTAGGACCTCTCTATTATGTATACTGTACATGTAACATTAAATACCTAAATCCAAATTATATTTGTTTTTACCATGGTCCTTGGACCTACAATGGAAATGAAAGTACAAAGTAATTACAATTTTGACAGATTTTATTAGTAATAAACTCTCATTAGAAGCTTCTGGTTTCTCTGTGACAGTGAAAGATCAATATATGTCAAAGCCAAGTCAGACTTGTTTCTCAGAGGCTCTCAGAGCATTTCTGGACACCTGCAGAGAGGGCCATAAAACCACCCGAATAGTAGGAATACAGTGACAATGTGATGGCAGCAGGACTTAGAGTTGAACAGACTTGGCATTGAATAATTTCTACTGCTACATGGCATTATTATAAAACAACATAACAGGCTAGGCATTCCTATGTGGGAATTCTTAAGTGCTTATCAGCTTCATTTTGCAATTTATTACCAAAATAGATTAGTGCTTGTTTTATTAGTAAATACAACATTATGATACAACTACTGCTCAAAAGTTCTTCTGCATTTCAGTAAATTTATAATCATAAAATTAAATTGACAGGAGAGTATGTGAGCAGTATAGATTTTTGGCAAAAACTTGACTTAGAGGACAGTCAGATTTGTGTTCAATATTCCAGGATTGCAATTTACTAGCTATATCTGCCTTTCAGTGTATTACCTAGCTTCTATTCCCTTGTACAAATGTGAGATAAAATAATTGCCTTTTGCTATAGTCTATAAATGGGATTTGTACGAATTCTTTAATATGGATCCCTAGCATAAGCTTATGTTTAATAAATAACAAACTTGTTTAATGTGTTTTCCTCTAATGTAATAAATTTTTAGCTTTAATATATGACTTTTTACTAATTACTAATTTTGTTTCTTGTCCATAATTATAAATGTTCTTTAAAATTAAATATTTTTTGTCTCTTTGAAATAGTTTTATAGACCTTCTTTATGTCTTTAATAGTTTCCCTATCTGCATTAAACAAGTATGTTTTTATTGCAAGAAAATAATATTCAGTCTTTAAAGGATACCCAATTTAAGCCAAATGATATAATTCAATATTAAAAGATTGGATATTTGTGATGAATACATTGAAAAAATTTATATGCATAAAATATAATGAAAATGAATTGCTGATTTACATAGTTTTTTAAATTTTCTGAGTAGTCAAGATGGAAATATTTCAAAATAGGCAATTTCTATTTTTATTTTCTTGGGAGACTGGGCTGAGAGGCAGGCAGAGATAACAGGGATCTTACTGTGCAGCACAGCCAAGGTCAGCCTTGACCTCAAGATCCTTCTGGGAGGGCTGAGATGCTGGAGTTACAGGTGTGTACTGGTACGTACACCCAGATGAAACAGGAAAATTTTTAAATAGCCAAGATGAGCCTATATTTAGAGAAATGAAGGTTTAAAATGTTGTATCTATAAACCTGTGGTAGTGTTTCTGTTGTTGTTTTAAGGCTGGAAACAATTTGTAGTGCCTTACGCTGTCATAAACAACATTGTCAGAAATAAGTTAGTCACACAATTTATGAAGTCCCCCATGGGAATTATTCATGTTTTCTGCCTGCTGTGTTTACTTTACTAAAACTAAAATCACCTTAGAAAATGGTAATGCATTTGAAAATATACGATCTATATTTCTCACTCTGCTCTTGTGTAGGAATGCTTTTATAAACCAAGACAGGTATCTACAAACCAGACTTTTATTCTGCACACTGAATGGGCTCTTTTGTCATTCCTATTTTCAGATAAGAAAACTAAGGTTTACGAAACTGTGAAAGGTAGAGCTCGGTTTAGCAGCTAGCTCCTGTTGACTTAAAATCTAAACTCTTCAGTACTACCCCAGGGCACAGGAATGTGATATTTATGTCATTCTTGAAGTACAGTCTTACTCAACACCTCCTGTGTATCAGGAATTCGGGATTAAATGGGAAGTAAATCCAACCATGGTCTTTGCCCTTGCATGGTTGGGCAGAAGAGAAATTGAGTCCCTAACTGAATGATCAGATAAATAAATATATGAACTAGAAGTGGTGATGGGCACTTGCATATAAGAGATATGTGTGGTAGGTAATGTGATACACAGGGAAGCCAACCTCGTTAATTCAGATGGCATACCTGAAGAAAGGGCAGGCACTTGAGCTGGGATCTGAAGGACAAGCAAGGTTGAGAGAAGCAGCCACTTGGAGAGACTCTGCTTAAGCATAAGAACAGCATGTTAGGAAGGCAGGACACGGGGGAGAGGATATGTTTGTTATTGAAAGGAGGCCAGTTTGTCTGAAAGGCAGAGAATGTGAGGGAGGCCTGTGAAGCTCACACTGGCAGCTCCTGATATTATCATAACAATTATAGAGTGAGGGAACAGTATAAGGGATGGATTTAAAATACAGAATAAGAGAGAACTTTCTTCTTTAAAGTTCAAGCAGTTACAAACAAATGGAAAGTCCTGTCACCTCGTAATAGGAACCTGATAAGAATGCTTGTTATTCAATGTTAGGCACCAAGTGAAAACAATTATAGAATCTTATTCCAAAACATAAAAGTAGATTTCAGGAAATGGAACGTATGCCATAGTTATGTCGTAAAATTAATATAAGAAACCGTTTCTTCTGAGATGAATGTATAAAAATTTAGTACCTCTACAAGAATCTCAACGTGGGTTTCTTTAGAAGGAAAATGATTTTCATACCTCTGTTGGATGATGAGTGCTAAAGAATCTCATAAGGAAACATCTGGAAAAATAATGGCAGTGAAAGAGTATTTGTATTTCATTTATCAAACACCAAATACTATTTTTTTCTGTAAACAGCATGCTATATCAACAATGAAAGACAAAGAGTTCAGCAGTAAAAGTTACAAAAGTTAGGACTATATGTCAGAACTTAGTGTGTCTTGAACAGATAAAAATTTCCTGGGAACTAGGGCTAGAGAGATGACTTAGTGGTTAAGAACACTTGCTGTGCTTCCAGAGGACTTGGGTTCAATTCCCAGCACCCGTTTGGTGGCTAATAATGGTCCATAACTCCAGTTCCAGGAGTTATGACACCCTCTTCTGGCTTCTGTGGGCATTGCATACATGTGGTATACTTACATACATGCAGGCAATACATGCATACACATTAAAATAAAAATAATAAATAAAATACTTTAAAAATTCACTGGGAACCCCTTTATTTTCAAGACTTTAAAGAACTGTGTTTGGGGGCTGGAGAGATAGTTCAATGGTTAAGAGCACTGGCTGCTCTTCCAGAGGACCCAGGTTCAGTTTCCAGGACCTGCACGGCAGTTGAAAACCTTCTGTAATTTCAGCTCCAGAGGATCCAATGCCCACTTCTAGCTTCCATGGGCATTGCACAACATGGATGCACTGCATACATACAGACAAAACACTCATACACATAAAATAAAAATAAGTGAAAAAATTTAAAACCTGCTTTTAATGACATAATGTTTTATGGTTTGAAAATGCATCAACACTGTTTTTCTAGGCACTTATTTCTCTCATATATCAAGCATATTTATCATTAATTATATTAGCTTAGAAATATTATTATCATAGGAAAAGAGAGTACATCATCAAGTATAATTTAATGTTATGACAATGGTACTATTCAATTTATGGTGGCTGAAAATTAATTGTGATGTTAATTTACCAAACCCATCTTTCACTGCTGGAGAAAGTAAGAGATGTCAGGGAAGATTTTTAAAGGTTTAAGAGATTGATATATACAACTGCTGTGACTAATATTTGTCAAATACTTAAGGAACCATAAGCTCGGGTACAGATGAGTTACGCTACATAAAGACATTGTCTCTATTGTAAAGAAATATTTAAACAGATCCATTGTTCTCAAGGATATAATGACAAGTTCGTGAATGAATGAATTAGACATTCTGTTTCCAGGAATATGTCTGTAGACTCTTTTAAAAAGCAATATTCGTCTCCCTTACTAGCTTTATCACCATGCAGTTGATTGATGAATTCCCTAAAGAGCAAAGTAAATGATGTTATAAAACCTTTCTCCTCTTGTGTAAGTGAAACTTTAATTTGATAATTATAACAACTGGCTTATAGTTATAGAACATGCATGACTTATAGGTGTAATGTGGTTCTTTAAGACAAAGAAATTTATAACACAAAGCTTAAACCTGAAAGTACAAAAATCAAAAGAGTTTCTATAATATAGTCCTGAGATTTGTCATAATAGTCACTTGTCTTTGAGGTTAAAGACTGCTGTCTCCTAATGGCTCTTTTTTTTTATATATATAGGGAGGATGTGAGAACTGCAAATGTAATTGCTGCAGAAGCTGTGACCTGCCTTGTGATTGACAGGGAGTAAGTACATTGCTTTTCCTATGCATATCACACACTCATATCAGCAATATATGTGTTTCTGGAATTAGGCATCACTTTGCAGAGCTATTAATGCTGTTTTTAAAAGTCTTTTCATTTTATAATGAGTTCTATATTTTATCTCATATTATTCTTAGAAGTAGCTGTCTCTGCCAATCTAGCTTTGTAATCTTTAATAAGGTACTTAGCCACTATGAGCTACAGCTCCCTAGGCTCATGTGAAAAGTAGGGATAAAGCAATAGCACAGGGATGTTTTGAGGATTAGTCAGAGCATGTGATTAAAACAGTTGCAATGTGCTTTTAATCAGGAGGTGCTAAACCAATGCTGGCTATTTGGCTATTTTATTTAGAATCATTATTAGTGTTGTTATTGAATATGTTTTAGGTTTCTTTTCTGTTTATCTACCTGAAACTCCTAAATTAGAAACCATATGGAAAACACTTTTGGAGAAAGCATCTGTTTAAGAATGAACAGGGATCTATTTAGAGACAGTGAAGAATCTATTTCATGATACCTGTCACTGACCTGTTTCTCCTCTTCATTTTGGCTTGCCACTCTCATCACCTGAAAATGGTAGTGGTATCACAAATTCCTCTCCAAGAATATGGTTCAGATGCATATAAAAAGCAGATCTTTCATCATTGCAGTATATGTGGATAACTATCAGAAGGGCTGAGGGCCTGACCTGGAGAGAACTGATAAGTGGCCATGTTAGTGGAGCCACTACAGTTGCAGTAGATACTGCACTGCACGGAATCGTATCCAAGGAACATAGAGGATAATCCTAGGAAGATGGAGTTAGGTGAATGCAGGAGGCTGTGGATAGAAAGGGTTCCCATTTTATTCATAATTCTTGCCTCTGAGGTCCCTTCATGATAGATCATTAGAACCTGTGCAAAAGCACAACTTCCAAATGATAGCATCATCCATAGATCTCTCTGAAATGGTTATTTTTTCCTGGAACCAACAATTACCATATTTTACTGAGGCTCTACTATATGCAAGGCATGATGCTCGGTGAAGAATCAAATATGCAGTATTAAGTATGCTTTGTGATATTTTCTTATACTATCTTGTACTATGAACAATAATAACCATCACCCAAGGCAGAAGTGAGAAGGGTCCAGATAAACTTTCAAGGCATTTCAGAAACAAGAACGGCAATTTCTGAGAAGAATCATAGACTATGAAAATAATAAATAATATTATCAGTTGGATCTGAAATCATAGAAAAGGCAATAAGGACCCAATCATCAGAAAAGCAGTTCATGAATAAATGATGGGCCATTCCAACTGGCAAGATAGAAACTGTATAAAAATAGTTGGAAGACATTTGTAAAAAAAAAAAAGTTTTCATGTATGATGAGAACTGATTCACTGATGACACTGGATATTGGTATAAGGCCAGCTCCAACAATTTTTTAAGACAGAAGTTTCCCTTTTGCAAATGGTACTTAATATACTCATCTGTGCTGTGTAAAATTAGAAGCCGTTTATAGGAAAAATGTGCAATGATGACTAGGCTAACAAAAGGTAAAATCACGGGTTTATCATCTGACTGAATTAAAGAGCAAGGGAGAAGTTAGGAATATTGATGGGACGGAGCAGGTGAGAATGGTAAGAAGAGGATCAATTTGGGCAACATACTGATAGTCCACAAGAGTGTAATGAATATGACATGCAATCTTGGCTACTCAGGACAGATTCTCTGCATGCTACAACTACCATAAAATTGACTTAAAAATTACCAACATAGAGTTAACAGCTGAAGTCATTAGATAGGGTGGAATTATCTAAAAAAAAAAAATAGAGGTAACGATAAAAGATTAGGACTGGAGAGTTGGCTCAGCATCTAAGAGCATTCATTGGCTGCTCTTGTATAGGACCCAAGTTCAGTTTCCAGCACCCACATGGAGGCTAACAACCACCAGTAACTCCAGTTCCAGGGGATCCAAAGCCTTCTTCTGACTTCCGTGGGCATTGCATGACATGGATGCACTTACACACATGTAGGCAATACACTTATACACATAAAATAAAAATAAATGAAAAAATTAAAGAAGATTAGAACTTGATGAATTTCAGTTGAGATTAAGGCATGGGTAGAAAAGTCAACTGATAAACAAACCGAGACTTCAGAAACAGGGCAATACAGGAAGAGGGCAACTCAAGAGAAAGGAGAATTAAATGCTTAAGTTAGAGAAATAGAAAATTAGTGAAACATAAATTCACAAGTAAGATATTCCTAGGAAAGCAGGGCAAGAAGACAGGATGATGTCACATGGGGAAGACAGGCAGGCTGCTCAGAAACTGAGCTACTAAATTATCGTTAGACAGGAGTTAAGAAGTTTCAGTGTGCTATTGCCCAATATAGTGGCTCTAGATAATTATGTACTATAAATCTCAGGAAGCTAGAGGAAAGGATGTTCAGTGCTTTCCTCCTGAAAGATAAACACTTAAGGAGATGGATATGTTGAACTTTGATTTAAACATCACACAATGTATATATGGATTGAAACACCATGTTACCCACTAATATATAATTTATAGATAATTTTTGTTTTAGGTATCAGTTAAAATAAATTAAACTCAACATTTGAAAAAAATATGAATCACAAGTTTTAGAGAGAATGCAGATAAGATGGAGCACATACATTGTCCGTAGGAATTCAGAGTAGTCTAACCATCGTAAACTAAAAATAATGCTATCATCTGACCCATTAATCCTACTTCTGATTATGTTTGTAGAGGGACTGAAAAATCAGCATGTCAGAGGGCTCTGCACTCTCCATGTTTACTGCAGCATTACTCACAATAACCCAAGATATGGAAACAGCCCAAGTGCCCATCAGTGGATACATGAATAAAGAAAATGTAGTACACATATACAAGTAAACATTATGCATCCTTAATAAGAGGTGAAGTCATTTGTAACAACATGGATAATCTGGATGACATCCTAAACGAAATGAGCCAGGCACACAAAGATAAATAGCCACCAGAGCTCAATTATAGAACTCCAAAGGAGAGCATAAAATGATGGCTATCCAAGGCTGACAGGTAGAGAATGAAGGAATAAGGAGATAAAGGTCAAAGAATAAAGTTTATATGAACAGGAGGAATAGGTTCTAAGATCACCCACTCAGCGATGTAACTATGACAATAATGATGCTTTACATATTTAAAAACTACAGTGAGATTAGAAACTGAGGCAGAAGGTTATGAACTTGAGTCTAGATTGGCTACATAGTTGGTTTGAGACAAACCTGGCTAAAGAGATAGACCCTGTATCCAAAAAATAAATATATAAACAAACAAAGAAACAGATAAATAAACACTGGAAGTAAACTTCAGATGACTTATTAAAAATGATAGGGGAGGAAGTGGTTATGTTTATTGCCTTGATTTAGCCTTGCTGCATTGTAGGCATACATCCCAACATCTTGGACCCAATAAATGAGAATTATAATTTGCTAATAATATAAATATTTGAAATAAGTGCACAATCTGGAGTGGTGATCAATGCCTGTAATACCAGCACTCGGGAGGCTGAGGAAGACTATTATGAGTTCTAGACCAGGCTGGGCTGCATAGTGAGTTCCAAGCCAATGTGGGCTAGAGAGTGAGATCCTGTCTCAAAGTGAAAAAGTCTTAAATAGATAAATGTAAAGATACATTTTTCTTAATTAAAGAAGAAAAGGAGAGAGAGAGAGACTGGAGGGATATCATAGTTTTGAAAATTGTTCTTACAATGGGCATATGAAATGCTGCAGAGAATATTGGTAGAATGTGGACTGCAGAGGAGGAGGTTATAGGCAAGTGAAGGGGGGCTACTTGGAATTCATGTCCGTACTGTTGTTAAAGTTTTTTTTTCTTAAAATAGCCAAAACATAAAAGAAGATATTTTGAAAGTCTGTAAAGGAGTGCTGTATTTTAGGTAAGGAGTCTTACGGGAACTTAGATGACCTTAATGTTGTCTCTAAATTGATGTGGGCAGGAATGAAGGTGGACCAAAGTGTTGCCAACTGATTGGGCACCGATTAATAGTCACAGCAGTTTATATTCCAACAGTCCTTTATAAATTATGAATTTTCACATCGATGAGATTCCTCCTCAGAGGTATGTAGACTATTTTACAGAAGAGGAAACTGAAGCTCACAAAGGTTTAATAATTTGACAGGTTTTACAAATAAAACCCATGCTAATTTAATTGTGAAAGTAAAAACTGAATGGAACCTTGCGGGTCATTGTCGATTAGTCTTTTTCCTTCATGGTTGTCCAGTGAGGTTGCAGGAGATAAAGGAGTATCAAACAGCATTATGCACACGCTTTCCCCTCATACTAATTTCAACACTTAGGCATGTAGTAGACAGTAAATAGGTGTTATCAAACTGTATTAGCTTCTTTTCTGTTGCTGTGATAAAATAGTGTGACCGAAAGCAAGTTAAGGAAGAAAGGGATTATTTTATCTTACTGTTCCAGATGGATAAAGTCCATCATGACAGGGAAGGCAAGGCAGCAGGAGCAGGAAGCAGAGAGATCACATTTCAGCCACACACAGGAAACAGAGAGAGAGAGTGGGATGAGGCTATAAACCTTCAAAGATGGTGCCTGGTGATGTTCTTCTTCCAGTGAGTCTCCACCTCCTAAGGGTTCTGAAACTTCCCCAAAGAGCAGTAGCAACTGGGGACCAAGTACTAAATACATAAGGAGATGGGTGACATTTCTTTCAGACTACGACACAAACAAAGCTCAATATTTGAGTACTGATCACAGCATGGTGTGATAACATGGGAAATTACTAAAATTTGAAATACTATGTTTTATCTCTGAACAATGGGATACTCTTACCTAATTTATAAAAATGAATCTGAAAAGCAAACAAGTTAACATATATAAAGATACATACAAATCCTAGCACTTGGAAGACAGAGGAAGGCAAATCTCTCTGACTTTGAGGTCAGCCTGGTCTACGATATA